ATATTTGGTCTAAGGAGTGCATTTACTTTTCACATACGCATGCACACTAACAGTAAATAATAATAAGTGAGGATTTATTTCCATCTCTTGGCCATTTATATGTTAAAATGTTTTTATCATTTTAACATATAAAGACAGCTCACTGCAGAAGTGTGCCAAATCTGTGTTACAAAAGCAGTGATACAAAGTCCATAACAAAAGTATATAACTACGGAACATGGATTTATCTCAATGAAGCAGAAAACAAATAAGAAAGAAAAGGCCAAACAAAAAAAAATCAAGGAAGCTCACCAGACATGAGTAAATATAGGTGTAATATAGGCGTAACCGGTATTAGAAATGAGAAATGAAAAGTTATACATGGATTCAATTCACAAGCCTATTAATGAAATGTGCTCAATTTTATCCACTTTAAAATGTTTTGTAGGAACAGAAACATTGAGCCCTCCAGTCCCATAATCTCTGATGATGTTTCTAGAACACCTTAAAGTGTCACTCCAGACCCCTAAGCAACTTTAGCTTGCTGAAAATTTGTGTGTGAAGAGTGTGTCCTTTTTTTTTATTTTGCAAAAAGTGCAGATTTCAATAGAAATGGACAGTTTTATAAATTAACCTGGTTACACCCTCTTGGCTTTCAAGCAGACAACAGGTAATGTTACTTCCTGGTTTCGTTAGCTCGATGCAGTTGACCTCAAGAGGCAGCAATTGCCCAGAGCATCTGACTTACAAAGACTTCTTATTGAACTGTATTTGCATGTCTGTGATTGGACAGTGACAAATTCTTTGCGGGGTTAGAAGGGGAGGGCATGCAAAGGCAGCAAACAAGAGAACTGCAGGTTTTGCAAGCTAATTTTAGATATATTCCCATGAAAAATTGCATAATTAAATGCATGCAGGTTTTCATTTATGGTATATCTACTAAACAGTGATTTTATTTATTTTGCATTTGGGCAGTGAAGTGTCCCTTTAATAGTATTTCTCCACAATTCTCAGTTTACTGCTATGTATCTTACGTGATGGATAATTGACCACAGAAATACTTTACTTGTTACCTTCTTAAATGAGGTTGTGGTTGTATAGCAGAAGCACTTTTTTGCAATTTACCGAAGGTCTAAATAACTAGAATTTGAGAGACCTCCCAGCCCCATAAGAGGTTAGCATATTTATAGTGCTTGGAGTGTCCCTTTAATATGAAGACAATTGCATTTTAGTTAGGCAACTTGATATCTGCTGGATAGATCTAAGACCCGTTTCCAAAGCATATTTATTTACAAATCAACAGACGATATGGAAAGCATAACAAAGAGACTTGAAAAGCTGGTTTACAGTATCTAAGAATTCATCTCCTCACACTTGTCCAAAGAATGCATTGCACAGTTCCCCTAATGGCGATTCCAACCAGAAGCAAAATATGTAATTTTATAACACATATCCACTGTCATCTTGTTTTGAATATTTCGTTATGCATTCCTTTAAATTAGTTTGTTATCTCTATGTCTATATATATATTTTTAAATTTGACATTTTTTTATTCATTTTTACAACAGAAAGCAAAGAGTAATAACATCATAGCTTCATACATCATAAATCATCATATCAAAAAATACAGTACTACAATTTACTGTGAATATAGGATTGTTGTTAGAAAAGAAAAGGAACATAATGTACAATAGCTTGTAAAATGCAGTATGTTAGACCCAATTACTACCTCCAGGCAGGGCCGGACTGGGAAAAGAATTCGGCCCAGGCATTTTCCAATTACAGCGGCCCCCTGAGAAGGGGGCAGAGCCATGGAGGGTGTGTTTTGCCATCACTAATGACAAGCACGCCCCCTCCCAAACAGAGCATGTTGGTTAAATGCGCAGAGCCCCGCTGAAGAGCACTAGCATGATAAAAAGGCCCTGTATTTGTTCTGTGCAGCGCAAGCAAATTTAATAACATGCTTGCGCTGTTTTTGCTTTTAACTTGTCTCCGGTGTCTCCATAAGTGGGATACCAGAGGACAAAAGGGCCAGAAAAGCGTAAGGTGCATGTGTTTGGAGCCTGCTTGTGGGATTGCGTGTGTGTAGAGTGAGCTGATTGTGGTGTGGTATTGTGTAAATAGGTCGATTTAATTTGTGTGTGGTGTAATATGTGTGGCTAGGGGCTGTAGAGAATGTGTGTATAGGGGATGTAGCGAGTGTGTGTGCATATAGGTGATGTAGTGTATGTAGGGGTTGTAGAGAGTGTATATGTTTAGAGAATGTTGTGTGTGCATAGGGGATCCAGAGTTTGAATGTCAGGAATGTAGTGTGTGTAGGGAATTTAGTGTGTAAAGGACCCAGAGTGTGTATAGGAGATTGTGTGTGTGTGTGTATGTAGAGGATTCAGAGTGTATATAGGGTGTGATCCTTGTCAGCAGGTAGCACGGCCCTCTAGGGCAAAAACATGCACAGTCCTTGTAATTGCATATAATCCAGTCACTTTATTTGAAAATCCACACAGGATACAGCAGTAAATTAAAACATAAATGTAACACAAAACCCTATAAACAAAAACCTAGCTCGGTCTGAGCACTAACTCACTTTGAACATCCCTCTCTATCAGGGTTAAACTAACAAAACATATGGCACCAACCTTATTAGTTAGCAACACTCTGCTGGCTAGCCTGTTGCTTTCCTTTCTGCACTCCTAGTGCTCCAAGCCAGCCTTGACTGCTTCCTCCTGCACTCCCAGTGCTCCAAGCCAGCCTTGACTGCTTCCTCCTGCACTCCCAGTGCTCCAAGACAGCCTTGACTGCTTCCTCCTGCACTCCCAGTGCTCCAAGCCAGCCTTGACTGCTTCCTTTCTGCACTCCCAGTGCCTAGTCTCCTTGACTCTCTGTCTGGAGAGAAAAGCCTCTCTCCTACCTGCTTCCTGGGAGGAAGCCAGCAATCCCTCTCCTTTACCTGCCTAGCAGGGAGGAGTTTATTCCCACTGCAACAGCTCATTAACTGCAGCTGAGCAGTGGGTTGGAGACGATCCAAAAAACCCTGGCCTGGATCCATGTCTCCCCAGAAAACCACTAAACTGTGGAGTGGAGCATTGGCCCACCCTTTCCTCCAAATGCTCCACCCCAGGGGCCCATAACTAAACAGTGTTTTGTGTTGCCTACAACACATCCTACACATACTCCCCCTGGGGTTAAATGTTATAGGCCTATCTGCCTTCACTTTATCACAAGGGTAAGGGATCTAGCGTGTATCTGTATAGTAGTGCAGTGTGAGGGGTGCTGTAGTATATAAATATATATATATATGCTTGGACATATTGTATGTGTGGGGGCGCAGTGTGTTGGATGTGCTGTGTGTATGTGTGAAGGGTGCAGCATATGTGTGAGGGGTGCAGTGTGTGTAAGAGGGGTGCAGTGTGTGTGTGTGTAAGAGAGGTGCTGTGTGTCTGAGGGTGTTCTTATCTGCCGTCACATTCTATGTTTCTAATTTTCTTTGTCTGTTAATTCACTGAGGGTTATTTTATATATTATATATATATGTATGTTAAAACAGAACAAAGAGTAAGCGCTAGCTAATATGAGGGCAGCAACCCTATAAGGGAATCCCTCAAGAACCCTTAAAAAAACGCAAAGAGAGAAAAGATAAAAAGTTAAGGGCTGCGCCAATACACAAATGGGAATAGCAAATAGTCCAAATAAATAACTGTAGTAAAATAAGAAAGTCTTATCTAGAATATGCTCTTTGAGGGTATGGGATCTATCCGTGCTTGATCCGGAGCAATTGTCCTTTATATGTTCATCCGTGGGAATCCGCTCGTATATGGAAGATAAAAGGGTGGAGAGCCAATAGTGTAAAATGTTTAAAACACTAAAAATGAATTAAAAGGAAAAAATAAAACTCACATTTGAAAGAGCTAAACTTGCTCTAGTATAGAAGGCGTACAGCGGTTTGATCCCCGCTTATGGGATATGGGGTGGATTTCCTCCGTCAGTGGTGTATCCGACACTCTGGTAGAAAGAAACAGCCAATAGTGTACACTGGATACAATGTTGATAATAAAACAAATAAAATAAAATGGGTACTCACAAGGCGGGAGCAGAACAACTGCTCCTTGACGTAGCGCTGGTGGTATGATCCCCACCTAGGATTTCTTGGAGTCCGGGATGTTGAGAGAATGCCAGGTAGTGAATAAAGTGTATAAAAGGATAAGTGGCACAGATAAAAAGTAACCAAATATACTTTAATATATATAAAATACACAATTAAAAGTCCATAAACGCGTTTCACCAAGAATGGCGTTATCAATATGGGGTAAGAACCTGAAACCTGGCATTACATAGTTTATATAACAACTGTAATTCTATAAAATTGGCGCCTAAAATGAGCAGCCAATCAACAATGAGTAAAAACATAAAATGATAATACAGTATAAAAATAGAAAAATCAATACTCTTATGCAATAATATGTTCATTATCAGTATGATGGCATAAGTACAAGTAAAAAACGAGAGGTATAACTCAGTATTTATTACTTTAATGTGCGCGGTCATGTGACCGGCACCAGGCCGCTGGGGAGTATGGGAGTAGTAGTATAGGCGCCGGCGCGCACTGCGCAGCCGCCGGCGTCTATGTAAACAGTAAGGCGTCAGCTCGCACAATGATTGCGGCTGACGTCAGTAGGAGGGGTGGAGCGACGGCGGCTCGCACGGGAATGCGGCCGTCGTCAAGGAAACCAGATAAACAGACGCCGGCGAGCACAAGGCTGCAGCCG